CCCATCCGACTCCATCCGCACCTATGTAGACCCGTCCCCACTCCCCCCTCGTGCGCCCGCCACGCGATGCCGCCAGAGCTGGATACGTCCTCACGAATTCCTCTGAAGGTTGTAGTCCGGCCTCCATNCTCCCCGTGCCCCCCCCCGCGCCCCCTTGCCCCCCCGCCGCGCCTCTCGCCCGCTCGTAGTGGCGACCTTCCCCCCATCCGACTCCATCCGCACCTATGTAGACCCGTCCCCACTCCCCCTTCGTGCGCCCGCCACGCGATGCCGCCAGAGCTGGATATGTCCTTACGAATTCCTCTGGTGGTTGTAGTCCGGCCTCCACTGCTTCTTTAACTCCAGGGCCTTGCGGATAGCCGCTCGGGCCGGGGTCTCACCGCTCCTCGAAGGAGCCGGCTCCGTTCCCCAGCCATCCGGCAAGGTGCGCTGGGTGGCACAGAGGGCCGGCCGGTTGAGTCCGCTGCGGGAGTCCTCCTCTGAAAGCTGGATCGGCGCTACCTTCTCGTCTTGCAGGAAGTTGTGCAGATGAAAAAGAGCTGTGATGAGATCCGCGCGTCCTCCGAGCTGCACGCGGAGAGGTCTCCACAGAATGCCCCAAGTCGAAACCAGGATGCCGAAGCTCTGCTCGATCTTAACACGAAGCTGGCTCAGGTGGAAGTTGAACGAGTCCTCGCCCGCCGGCAGTTGCCTCCCAGGGTACGGAGTTAGAAGCTTTTCTCCGATGGGGTAGGCGGCGTCACCAATGATGTGAAATCCGGCGGGCAAGCGGGCGACGGCCTTGGCGAGGGAAGATCGAGTCCATGCCACCCAGTCGTTCGTCGAGCCTGGAGAGATCACCGACATTGCGCAGAACCGGTAGTCGGCGGTGCACATCGCTTGCACGTAGATGCCGTAGGCGGACTTGCTGCCAGGGTAGTACGCGATGACATTTNGCGGACTTGCTGCCAGAGTAGTACGCGATGACGTTTTTGGTCTCTTTCGCACACGGAGCCTTGGCCTTGATGAACAGACCATCCACGGCGGCGACGACCCACGAGAAAACGCCATCGGTGCTCTTGTCCTGCATTTGTAGACGGCAGACACGACGGCGGGAAAGTAGTACCGGGAGATACAAAATAGTAAGTCGAGAGATACGTTGTGTAGGTTGGTGTCATCGGCGACGGAGCCATCACTAGCAAAGAACGGTGCGCATACCGTGGAAGCTGAGACTTGATGTTGTTTGCGAATGCCGATGTCGCGTCAGGTACAGCGGTAACAAGGTACCAGGGCATCTTTGAGACACGGAGGGGACTAAAGTACATTGATTCCACACTTTTTTCTCGCTGAAAGATGTTGCGGGGCCGAGCCAACATGGCCAGCATACACAAATGATGGCAGCATAGTAACATCTATTTGAAAAAGTACGCCAAAAGCTGGCGAACCACCTGGGACCCGGGGGGTGTTTTTCGATTCGAAGCATGCTGACAACGACGACAACCCGAACTTGTACCCGCATTTTACCGACGGGGGCTGCGTTTCATAGATAGGCCTCACTAAACTAATATTACGACTGGAAACGCCAGTCGTACAAAACAAAAACGAACGATATCGCGCGGTTGGTCGAAAGACTGCCGCCAAGAATAACCCTCACAGCAGCAGTACTGACCACCGCTAGGCCTCACCTTGAATCTGTTGGCGCTTCGCATGCATCCTTCCTCGGTCAGGGGGAAGTCAAATGCCCCAACCGCAGGCGTGTTGTTGATGGTATCGATCACCTCCTACAAGATCTGGTATGTGACCGCCACCGACAGCCAACCATGAGAAGGACATCCCAGTAACTGGCGCCAGCCAGGATCCTCAACGCCACGGCAACGCGAACTTCCACAGCTATGGCGCCGTTGCGTGGCGATCGCAGTGCTGTGGGGTTTCCGAGCGGCGCGTAGATAATTGTTGCAGGTCATGCGAGTGTCAGAGGTGGCATGTTTGCAATCGCCAGCACCTAATTAGCAACCTATGACGGGGGACGCATGTTCTCTACAAAATCTGACTGCCGGCCCCGTCCACCTCCCGACTACGGTACTGTGACGGCTTTGCGTTTATCACCTACTACACACGATATCTTGCACATGAGGAGCAGTGTCGAATGCCGTTGTGTCATTGCGGGGGATACAACATTCTGCATTGGCTCCCGACGAGGCATATGTTTTGTTTCAGTGGTGCCGGCGTGTATTGTGATAAACTATTTCTGCTGTGCGGTAGTCAGCGTCGCACTGCTGTACAATATGCATTCTACAGCAGTACTGCTGTAGACGAGATATGCTGCGGCACTGCTGTATG